GCTAGAACTCGAAGTCAGGGCCGGGGATTCAATGTGTGGATTACTCACATACAGGTTATAGTCCTAGTTACAGATCAAGTATGGTAATAGTGTCATCGTGGGAGGTTGTAGAGGCAGAAGAGAAAAGAGTCAAGGATGGACTGTCCACATTTCAAAGGAAAGAGGGGCAGGAGAGAAGATTGCTTAGAAAGGAGACCCGGTTCAGTCAAGGCATCTAAGAGCAATGAGTTTTAAAGAGTCTTAAGATGACAACTCCACTCTCCCTTCCCATGCCTGCCCCAGGCAGGAGGCCCACAGCCCTGCAGCTGTAGCTCCTGCACTCCCTGCCACACATACTGCACTGTAACACTAAAAGGTTTGTGCCCACCCTGCCACTACCACACAGGTCAGTGTTCAGAGGCTTCATTTCCTAGCCGAAGCTGTTCCCTTTACTCAGGCACCCTCCATCTTTCTTCTCCCACCTGACTTTTCCTCACCCTTCTCACTCACCTCAGATGTCACTGCTTTCAGAAGGCTTCCCTGAACCTCGTACACATCTTTGTACCTCTAAGCCTAACACAGTGCCTAAATTTGTAGTTCAGTATTTGTTTTGGTATTTAATTAACCTAAAAATGAAATATTTCACTGGTCTCCTAGTTGGTTTCCTTATTTCTGTTCTCCCCAGCCCCAGAGCATTTTGTATAGATAGATAGCAATTTTCCTAAGGCACTGTATCAGCCAAAATCATGGGTTTAACGCTTTATTAGGGTATAACTGTCATTTAAAAAATTTTTTTTTATATTTATTTTTTTGTAGTGGTAGTTGGGCACAATACCTTTATTTATTTACTTACTTATTTATTTGTTTATATGGTACTGAGGATCGAACCCAGGGCCTTGCATGTGCGAGGCGAGCACTCTACCACTGAGCCATAACCCCAGCCCAAGGGTGTAGCACTTTATTGGGGTATAATTATCATTCAGGAAGTTACATGTATTTAAAGTGTATAAATTTCTTCTTTAATCTATGGATATGTGAAGTATGTTTTCTAAGTTTCTAAATATTTAGAGTTTCTTCTAGGCATATTGTTAGTTATTTCTAATTCAGCTTCATGTGACCAGAGAATTTAATTATGACTTAAGGCTTTTAAAGCTTATAGAGACTTATGGCCTGGTACACGGCCTATCTTATTGGAAAAATCATGTGGACTTGCAAACTTTAAAAAAAAAAGTATTTCATGCCATGGTTGGTGTGGTACTTTGTCAATGTCCATTAGGTCAAGGTGGTTGATAACGTTAATTCTCCCAGAGCCCTTCTGGTGTTTTGTGTACCTGTTTTATCAGTCACTGAGAGAAAGGTGTTAATATCTCCAAATATGAGTGAGATTTGTCTAATTCTTTTTTAAATTCTGTCAGGTTTGGGGGACTAAACTAAGACGTATTCAAATTGCTATGTTGTACAAGTATATTCTCTTTGTTTATTCATTTATTGGGAAACTGAAATCTTCTAGACATTGTAAAACTGAACTTGTAATTCATATTATTAGTTATTTACATGTGCTTATTACACATATATTTGTGTGAGTACATATGTAAGACATGAAAACATGGGTATATATGTATTTGTCTATGCATCTATCTGTATAAGCCACACTTGGTCTTAAATTCATTGACAATAGAAATTATAACTTCTATTTGCATATCTCTCCAGAGTCTTAATACATCCTAGTGTGAATGGTAGGTACCAATAAGTGTTTCTTGACTGATAATTTGTATTTTCAGGTTCATATGCAGTATACATTGATGTGCACAGAATCAACATATAAAGCCAAGAGTACATAAATTACATATTCACTAATTAAGTTAAACTGAATAGTTACATTCCTCCTCTATGCAAAAGCATGATGCAAGCTATAAAGTCAAAGTGCAAGAACTGTGATGTGTGATGGACTCTACATGGCATATATATAATTAAGTCAAAAAAATGAGTTTATAGAAATAAGTACTTGATAATTTCAGAAAAGGGGAGGATTAGGATGGAGTGGTAGACTGTTGGTAGGTAGTACTTGTTTGAAATGGTCCTTGTGTGATTGATAGGCTTTAAATAATGTGGGGGAGAGGAGCATGTTCCAGTGTAAGCTGTGCAGAAGTTCGTGGTGATAGAGATCAGAGACCTGTGTTTCCAGGTAGGATGAAGCGAAGGGACCAGAAGCACATGGGGTATGTAAGTAAGGAAGAGAGTGGGTTGAAGACTGTCCCCTGTTGAGTAGCAATAGCAAATAAGCAATGGCTAGCCTTTAAAACCCAAGGAACGTGGATTTTGTCACTGACACAAGTGGGAATTTTTGCAGGACTTTTGAATATAAACTATAAATAACTAAAATAGTGATTGAATTGAGGAGGACTAATTTGGCATGTTGCATAGAATGAGCAGGGAGGGAACAAGAAGGCTGGTGGCAGAGAAGCCCTGTACAATCTATTTTCTGGAATCTTCAGGACTCTTCAGCTTTCTATTTAAGAAAACATTGTTCTCCTTGAGATATTCATTTTAAAATCATTACCAATTAGACTTCTTTTTGATCATAGTATTTGATTTCTTTTAAAAATTATCATTTTTAACAGAACTCTAAGCAACTGGGAGATTGCAGTCTGTTTCTCCTGGACTGTTGGGTAAGGGGGCTTGAGAGAAACACAATGACTCCAGTCAATTGGTTTCATTGAATTTTAAGGTTTTGTTCAGTTAAAAAGTTTTGTACTTAACATTAAAATAACCAGCTATTACCGTTGACACTTTATATACCCCAGTTTTGAGATTTAGACTCAGCATTCTTATGAATATTTTCATCAGAAAGTCACTGTCATTCTGAATTGTCCTAGTTTACATATTGCTAAATTTTAAGATGACTTTATTACATATAGAACTAGGCTTTTTCTCATATGTAAAATGAAATTCAATGGAAAGTGTTTAATGGAAATTCACCTTTAAAGAATGCTTTTATATAAATATAGTGGCATGCACTTTGAAATCCCATAAATCTAATTTCCTACTAGAGACTTATTAGTATTTTTAACAGAACCTTTTACCAACTCAATAGAACTGGGCCATATGCAAATTAGGAATATTTTAGAAGAGATTATTTTATCTACCAATTTTCTGTTTCCTTTAATTATTATTAAGACATTAAGCCATATTCAATTTAGAAAAACAAAGGAATGCCAGGTGCAGTGGTGCACACCTGTAATCCCAGCAACTCAGGAGGCTGAGGCAGGAAGATCACAAGTCCAAGACCAGCTTCAGCAACTAAGTAGGGCTCTAAGCAACTTAGTGAGACTTTGTCTCCAAATAAAAAATGAAAAGTCTGGGGACGTGGCAAGTTGCAAAGTGCCTCTGGATTACAAAAAAGAAAAAAAACAAAGGCATTGCTTTTGCTTTAATTCTTGTGCTTCAGTTTTTCCTTTCACTCAACACCATTAAGTACTTCCTCTAGGACTGCCACTGTGAGGTGCTGGAATACAAACACAGCCTCTGTTAAGATCTTGTCAAGGAGCCTGTCCTCAGGTGGGGCAAGAGTTTTAATGAGTGAAGTATTCTCATTACAGAGTCTGAACACAATATGATAAGATCAACAACAAGATGGGGCAAGGAAGAAAAGGAGCAGGACAAGCTTTGCAGAGAAAGTTTTAAAGGATGGGAAGATTGGAAAAAAAGAAAGGAATTCCTAGTGGAGGTAGCAGTAAGTTCCTTGAATTGCTAAATCTTGGATATACCAGCAGCATTTTCCTAGCCTCCAAAATGGTAAAAATGGGAGGAAAGGATTTTAGTATCAAAGAAAATGTTAATATCCCAGAGCCTGAAAGTGAAGATGAGAGCCTGTCATGTGCATTATGAAGTGTGTGGCAGCGTACAGTGTGAGACACAATCACTCGGGAGTGACTACACCGTTTCTGCATCCTCTTCCCTTCTGGGATCTTCAAATGATAAACTCTTCCTTTTGCCCTCTCTCACCTAGTTATGCTTCTAATTTCATGAACTCAGTCTCTTCAAAATAATTTTCTTTCTTACCTAGGTACAGATGAAATTGTTTGAGAGCAAGATAACAGTTTGCATCTAGATATTCAGGTTAAGTCTGTAACTCAAAGATTCTGTAGGCATTGCTTCCATCAGGTCTACTTTAAGTTTTAGTTTCTTATAACCCCTTCAGTCTCTTCTATTTGTGATCAATAGCATGTGTCTGTCATATTTCAGGCTCTGTTCTAGGTGCTTTGTGGCATATATTTCTGATCTTGCAGAACTTACATTTTAGTAATTGTCACAACACTTCTGAAAGATCTTTTCTTCCACATGGACAAAGGATTTATTAAAATTATGCTCCTACCTAAAGTGTTGAGTTTCTTTAATGGGCCTCCTGTACAAGGGGAAGAAGATGTTCCTTATTCCAGGGGAAAAGTCGCTTTTTTTTTTTTTAATTTTTTTTTTTTGTTTAGTTGTAGATGGACAAATACCTTTATTTTGTTTATTTATTTTTATGTGGTGCTGAGGATCTAACCCAGGGTCCTGCATGTGCTAGGCAAACGCTCTACCACTGAGCCCCAGCCCCAGCCCCAGGAAAATGCTTTTTTGTAGTCGAGGGTTCTATAAGGATAGACCAGTAAGATGTGGCAAATTTTCACTAGTTTATCTTGTAAAAAAATGAAAGTTTGAAGGTACCAAAAATATGGTGGTTTCAGAGACAGATAAGTGGGTGAAGGAAGAAATATTTAAAGACAAGTTATTTGAAGCTCTCCTTGCCTTGTGTTTTAGTGAGGAGAGGGAGAAGGCAGCCACCAAATGACTAAGGCATCAATTATAGCTTGGATGTGCTTTAAATAGAATATAGAAGCATAGTAAGAAAACAGAAGGACTAAATAGGGAAGAAGTCTGTTGGGGCATTAAAAACCCTATTTATTAAAATTGCAATGGATCTGAAATAGAATATTTTCAGTTTTATTTTTTAATTATGGTTCTTATTTGTTACTTTATAGATGCTGTACCTACTCCCTCAGAAAAAAGCCCATCTCTGCAGACAAATGTGAGTTTGGACAAGAAATCAGAGAATACCATTACAGATACTGTAGCCAAAAACCCCTTGCAAACACTGCAGAAAAGGCAGGCAGCCTCAGAAAGTTTTGAAACATTGACAACTTTACCAGCATTTTGGTCATCGAGTAAAGAAGAGTTTATCAGTTCCGATTTAAGGATATCACAGTCAGATTCTACCTCCTATAACCAGTCCTCTATAGAGACACTGTATGTCTCTCCCTCATTCGAAACATGTAACCCCACGAAGGGGACTGTAATCAACAAGGACCTTCAGAAACCAATGCAGGCCAGCGCTGTTCAAATGCACGATGCAGACCTCAAGGCCCCAGCCACATGGGGTGAGTCTACCAACAAACACAGTGATTTGAAGCTTTCCTTCTTCTGAAACATTCTTCTTTTACCTTTCTCTCCTTTTACCTCCTTTTTTGTTCCCTCCTTTCACTCTTCATCAGTGATATTAAAAAGTAAAATACCATAAACATACTTCTCAATTGGGAAAATACCCCTTTTATTAAAGGGCTAGTACATAATTTATCTTTGTGGGTTACACATATTTGATTGACTATATTACCATAAATTCTGAGTAATTTGGTATAAACCAAAATAGAAGGAACTAGCATTAACCAAGAGCTTAAGAGAATACATATAAAAGAATTGGTTATGGCATATATGTATGTGTGCTTTTTTAAAAAAGGCCTTTTTTTAAAGGTACAAGACACGTTGTCCTTTTCCTGTCTGTACAAAACAGTGAGAAGGTTGTGATATTGTTTAGACTGGGTGATAAAGGATAGAGCCAGTTGGGACTCCAAGTTATTGGCTGTCAGTTATTAAATCCTGTGTTATATAATTATACTTTCTTCTAAAAAGTTAATTAGTATAAGAATAATTTGCTTGCTCATGCATTTTTCAAAGACTAAGTCATAGTTTTATTGGTTCTTATGTATGATAATGATTACCAATTCATAAATTCAAAATTTTCAATATGAATCATTTAAACTGCCTCAAACACAGATCAAAAGTACATATAAATACAAATAATGGAAGTTACCATGTTGAGGTTAAATATTTTTACCTTGTTTCTACTAAGGTCATTGAATAATAAAGATTCTCCCACTATTCTTCAAAAACCTTTTGGTATTGAATAGCCTAACAGTTGTAAACCCAATTCTTAATTGTCACTAAATAAACTTTCTGCTGAGACTATTTATGTGGAAACCAATTAGTACTAGTTATGGCAGCGGTGATCGCCTATATGCATGGCTATCCTCTGGGAAGTTGTTACTATTGGTTTATTACTTCACAAATACTATGAAAAAAATAGTTAAATAAATAATTTAATAACTGACAAAATAAATACTTTTTGGACCAGTGTCTCAGTACCATATATAGTTAATAAAATTTAGCAAGAGATTCCTCTAAAAAACCAGTTAGCAAGGATGACTTTTGCTTCTGGCTATAATGAAATAGGATAGTATTAGTCTAACCCTACCCCCCAAATTAACTTTAAACCCTGGAAAATTAGTAAAAGCTAGTTTAAGTTCTCATAAGACAAACTAGATAGAAAACACACATAATGGAATAAGATCTCAAGGGGAAGGACATTGAGATGAGTCCCACATTCACCCTAGTCCCCACCCCACCTTGGGTCCAAGGCCAGGATTTTCACAGCCTCATTGTATTTGGGTGACAGAATTGGAGTTAGGGGCTTCCAAACTGTCAGGGTCTGAAGAGGCCCAAATTCTAGAGAATAGGGAATCACAGAGAAATCTAACGGACTTTGTGTAATTGCCTGCTGTGAAGATGCATATGTTCTGGATGAGATGCCAAAAAAAATTAATGTGAAACAATTTCTTAGAAACCAAGCAGAGATTCTGATCATCTTGTGATGCAGGGATACAGAGATTGGAGTTCAAGATATGCCAAACGGAAGGGGCCTTGGTAAATACTCTATGCTTTCAATTAGGACACTCTAGGAGTAAGGACAACCCAGAAATAAGGCAGCCCTCACAAACACTGAAGTCTGTCTTCAGCTATAGCAGTGCTTGGCACATTCTCCATCGGCCTTCTGGAAGACAAACTCTTTCTTAAGAGCTTCTGTAATTTTTCGTGAAAAATATTTTGGCATTCAACAATACCAGAAATATGGAAGAAAAACAGACAACAGAAACAGGTAATCTATATTCTAAAGTTATAAGGTAGCTACTTTAAAATAACTATGATTAATATGATCAAGAAAAGAGAGGAAAAGGTCGAGAATGTCTTCAGATTACTGATATCTGTTTTTTTAAAAAAAATAATGAAAATATTAGAGCTGAAAAACAGTAGCTGAAGTTAAGCCCCCCGAGGGTCCCCTTCAGTCTACACAGTCTGTGATGTCAAAACAGAGAGCTCAGTGCTGGTGGAGAAGCTGGACAGTAATGAAGGAAACCCTAAAAGGGAAGGAGACTCTGACCCGGTGAGCCTCATAAATTATGTATGAATTCTGCCCATTCCTGACTAACTACAAAACTACACATGTAGGGGGAACCCAGTGAGTGTGACTAAATAAAAAAAAAAATCCTCTGGAAGCTAGAAGAACTCAGAAGAAATTTCAGCTTCTCTTCACTGCAAGGGTAACAGTGGATGAATCCAGCCAAGTCATTTTTTTTTTTTTTACTATAACAAAAAATCATTCTTCAGAAAGACTGTCAGAATCAAGAGACTCTACAGTATGTCCAAATGTCCAAAATAAAATTTAAAAATCACTAGGCATTTGAAGAGTTAGGAAAACATGAGCTGTAATGAAGATATACAAAATCAATAGAACCTGACCTTTTGATGGTGCAATTAGCAGTCAAGTTCATAAAGCAGCTATTAAAAATGTATTCAGGGACTTACAGTATTCACAATGAATGAGCAGATGAGGGACTCTCCACAGACAGAAACTGTTTTTAAAGAACCAAAGAGATGTTCTAGAGATGAAAAATAAATAACTAAGTTTAAAATTTTGCTGGAGATGCTTAACAGTAGATTGGAAACGAAAGAAGAGTAAGTGAATTAGAAGACAGAGCAGCAGGGATTATCTAATCTGAAAATGGGAAGGAAAATATTTTAAAAAATTTTTGAGACTCAGAGTCTAAGAGGACAATATCAAGTAATTTGTCATTGGCATAATTGGAGTTCCAGAAGGAAAATAGAAATGGGTAGAAAATTTATTTGAAGAGATAATAACCAAAACTTTCCAAATTTGTAGACAAAACAAACTTTCAGGTCCAAAACACTCAAGCAGGCTATACACAAAGAAAACCATCCACAGGCACAGTATAATTCATCAGTGGATGAACTCCAGAGGCAGAATTTCAAAAGCAGTAAGAAAAAATGTCATATTACATATAAAGAACAACATGTATGATGCCTGACTCTTCATCATAAGTAATATAATGGATACAATGAAAATCCCTCTTACAATGTTAAAAGACAAAATCTGTCGACCTGGAATTCTGTGTCTAGCAAAAAGAATAAGGTGGGTGAAGAAATGACATATGCAAATAAATAAGAACTTAGCTAATGATCATGAAATCTGCACTACAAAAAAATAGTATGGAAATATTTTTCAGACTAATAAGAAATTCTACTAGATAGTAACTTGCATCTACAAATAAAAATGATAAGTACTGGAAATGATAAATATGTGTGTAAATAAAAAGGCAGATATAATTGTTTAAAGCAAAAATCATGCTACTATATTTTGAGATTTAAAACAGATTAACAACATTGCACAAAGAATGGGGAGTTTAAAATAATACAGTATTAGCTGTAATTCATGATAAGTTAAACATGCATGTTTAGTCACATTTTTTTTAGAAAGGAAAGATAAAATAGCTAAATTCCTGTTGAGGAATTAATATAGAACACTAAAAATACATTTGATTATCAGAAAAGAGAGATGGCAAGGAGGAACTAAAAAGCAGACAAATAGAGAGCAAATATAAAATAGAAGACCTAAACCCAACCATTTTAATAATCATATTAAATGTGAGTAGAATAAATATTCTAATTAAAAGGAAAATACTTTCAGGTTTGATAGAAAAGCAAGACTCAACTATATGCTATCTGTAAGGGAAGTACTTTAAAAACAAACACATACAGAATTCCAGGTTGACTGAAGGTAAAAGGATTAAAATATATACACTATGCAAGCTGCATAAGAAAGCAAGAGTGACTATGTTAATATCAGACAAAATAGACTTCAAGACAGGGATTATTACTAGAGGTAAAAAAAAAAGTCATTTCATATTGACAAGTCAAGCACCTCAGGATGTGACCTATGTCACATCTAAGTACATATGCACCTAATACCACCCTTAAAACTGAATGAAGCAAAAACTGACAGAATTATAGAGAGAAATAGACAAATCCACAGTCATAATTAAAGATTTTAACCCTTTCAGAAATTAAGAGAACAACGAGGCACAAAAAAAATCTGAAATCATAGGAAAATGAGTAGCTCTACCAAAATTCTTAATAACTTAATTGACATCTATAAAACACCATATCCAACCACTGCAGGGTACATTCTCTTTCAAGTGCAAAATGAACATTCACTGAGAGATTGTGTACTGCGTCATTAAAGACAAAAGGTAGGGCTGGGGATGTGGCTCAAGCGGTAGCGCACTGGCCTGGCATGCGCGGGGTGCTTTGTTCGATCCTCAGCACCACATAAAATAAAAATAAAGATGTTGTGTCCACCGAAAACTGAAAAATAAATATAAAAAGGACAAAAGGTAATAAGGATGCTAACACACAATGAGGTAGGGGGAGGGAAAACTAGACAAAAGGGAGTGAAGGGAAGAGAGAGGCAATGAGAGTAGGAAAGACAGTAGAATGAATCAGATATAACTTTTCATTTTCATATATGAATACACAACCAGTGTAACTGCACGTCAGGTACAACCACAAGAATGGGAAGTTATACCCCATGTATGTACAATATGTCAAAATACACTCTACTGTCATGTATATATAAAAAGAATAGATTAAAAATAATCAGGTTAAAGAAAAAAAAGGTAAATAAACAATAGTTGGAAATTTAGCCATACACTTTGACCACAGAGGATGAGGTAGAGGGAGATAGCCAGGGGTCCTGGTAAAGCATAACCTGGGCAAGGTGGACTAGAGTTGAGAATCCAGGAGAAGGATCTGCCTCATCCAAGGGCTATAAGGAAGAAAAAAGGATATATCAGGTGTGAGGGAAGGGATTGTTATTATTTTTGTTTTTAAAAATTAAGATGCATTTATGTGCCCTATGCCGTAATTAAGGGCCTCAATTTCTTACTGTCAGAAGTCACCTGCCAAGCCT